TGTTCTTCCTTGAGTCATCTCCGAGAAGAAATCCCTGAGGATCTCTTTGCGCTGGAACGTGATACAGCTAATGAAACCATTTTATCCCTGCCATCTTGAAACTCTGCATTTCCTAGGTGATTGATGAGAATCCAGAGCTCAGCCTCTTCTGGCTGCCAGGCCTCTGAAGAAGCACAAAGCCATAAGGATCAAACAGCGTTGCATCTTCCAAGTCACCTGTGAGGATGGCAGTCATAAACTGAAGGTACAGAAGATGAAGATGTCCTGCTCAAGGTTAGCCTTAAGAGGTTCCCATCTCTTCTTATAGTTGCAGCATCCAGTGGAGTGAGGACACATTTCTCTCTGCTCGAGATAAAAACAGGCTGCAGAACTTAGAGGCTTATTTCATTTCTGTGCTGTCAGAGTGCTTTTCCAAGCTCTAATTTAGCTCAGACTCTGGCCTTTTGCTTTATAACCAGCAGGATATCTGATCTGATGTGGGAAGCACAGGGTGTCTGAGGAAATGACAGTCACAAGACCTCTTGTTCCCTAAGATGTGGGAACCTGGGAGAGTGGTGAGGGCAGAATCCTCACCCTTTCATTAGAAATCTTGGTATTTGCTGGTCTGGAGCAAGAGCCTTTGGTTTCCTCATTGTGCAAGGCATGACCTCTGCCCATGCCCCAGACCTGGGGAAGGCAGTGCAGTCTCTGAAGCAAATTGCCTCTGCTTCATGTGGTGCCAGCTGCTTTTTAAATAGGTGATTGTATCAGGTTATTATGGTGGTCCCTTTATTCAATTCCTTGTCCAGAGAAACTGGTTTTCCTGAAATTGCCTCCTCAGCTCTAATCATTACATAGCAAAATTGCCTTGGGAGAGAGGCTGGAACAGAGCAGGGTCCAGCTTCATGCAAATCCATGCTGAGCTGCCCCCAGGATGATAGCTGCTGGTGTCCTGGGAGCCGCAGGCTGCAGCAGGGATGCTGTTCATGGCTCCTGTTCATGCAGGACTATTCACAGTCTTTGGGATGATCACTTCAAGAATAGAGGATATGAAAGAGACCATTACCATGAGCAATATGGTGGCAAAGTGTCAAGTTCAGAGTAACAACCTTTTACTCCATGGAAGTGTCCTAATAGGATTGTCAGTTTATATGAAATGTGGAATGACATCTGGGTCCATTAAACAGGGGAAACACATACAGGGTATCAGTTATCCTCCTTCATGTCACTACAGCCCACTGCCCGAGGTTCAAAAGAGTCTTAGTGAATAGTTTCCCACTATGAGGTTTGGCTTATCAGCCCCTTGTGGAACAAGATGCAAGGTAAGAGGGATGGTTGCTCAGCTCTCATCTGTCAGGTGCTATTTCGTATGGTGACATGAGTGTGATGTTTTGCAAGCCTCAGATGAAACGCTGCCACAAGTGCAATAGCAGGTCTAGGGCAAACTGCTTTACCCTCCTTCCACAGATATCTGACTGGCAGTAAAAGGGGATCGGGACAGGCAGATAGTGGTGAAAAAGGCTCAAGAAGCACTTGTGGGGTGGGAGGGTTGGGAGGTTATTATTAATTGCAGTTTTTTGAGCACAGCGTCACTGCTGGGAAAACACAGTCCTGCCATCCAGGGCTCATTATCCATGAGATCTGGCAGGCTGCTTCCAGGATTAGGCAGCTTTTCGGCTCTTGCTTTTGGCCATTTCTCTCATTACAGGCTTACAGCAGCTCCCTTATCTTGCACAGAAGCACTTTTATTAGACAGGAGACTAAAGGGAGAGAGAAGAAATGAGGTAAGGAAGGAAATAATCCAACAGAGGGCAAAAGGCTCAGGCAAAGTGATGCTCTGGGGTGGTGGCCACGTTGCCTGTTCCCTCTCTACAGATGGGAGCCCTGGAGAGCTCTGGGCACAGCCTGTTTAGGCCAAGGTGGGAGCTCACAGCTTAATGTCACTATTTCTACCAAGCAGATGGAGCAGGCAGGAAAACGCTGTGAAATCTAGCTCCTGGATTCAATAAATGATCGCTTTTCATTTACTGCCCTGCGCAGCCCCCTGCCCCCAGCTATTGCACAGCTTTCTGCTTTAGCAGACTCTGAGATTGGATGTGCTTTCCTTCTAGGTGAAATGAATCCTGCCTTGCCCAACGTTTTCTTGGCTGCTTTTTATTGGGCCTTCTCTATCCGAGTTCCTCTGGGATAAGTACTGAGCTTTTCCAGGCTTCCAGGGTTTTGCACTGGTAGTCTGCAACTTCACACTTCGGCGCCTCATATGTAAGAACTTAAACGCTGGATCCCCCTCGGAGCACAAAACAGGAGCTCGCATATTGTGTTTCAAAAGGCACCTGGTAAGCAGCAGACACTTGAGCTTGGCTGCAGTCTGAGGCATTGAATCCAGCAAATATTGCTGGGAGCTCCCAGCCCTAATTAAAACTGAAATACTGCTCCGCTCATAGCAAGGCTGCCCAGCTGTGACAGCCTGAATGGGAGCGCTCAGGGACTGCAGGAAGGGGTTTAAAACATCTTGAGACAAGAGGCAGAACCTGTGTCAGCGAGAGGGATGCTTTAAATCTTGATGAGTGAAACTCATTTTTGTTTGGGTTTTTTTTTCCCCCTCTTAGCACTACTGGCTACATCCCAAAGGAAGAACTCGGCTTTTGCATGGGGAAGGATGGAGCTGTCAGCACAGGCTAAAATGACAAATTGAAGTAAGCTCCTAAAGCTGCTTAGAAAACTCCAGGTATTGGGCATTAGGGCTAAAACTCAGCCAGGGTGAAACCTTGTTGGGAGGAGCCTGGTTCTTGATTCATTAACCCTGCACAGAACACAAAAGGGCAGTTTGTGATGCTACCACTCAACCACAGGCAGCGGTTGCAATCCATACCTGTAGAGCTGAAGAGCTGCAGCATCCAGGCTGCCCCTTTTCCCAGGCACCTCTGTGGCTGGATAACAGATTGCTCCTGGGCAGCAGGCTGTGAGATCTGTGTAGCAGGGCACCTGGTGCTGAGTTGCTGCCTTGAAGAGCCAAGCTCTGGGCTTGTTCTAGATTCATATCCCGGCTTGGAAATGCCCGGCAGCATCTGAGCTGAGCTGGAGAAGAATGCATGTGGGTCAGGTTTAAATACTCAATTTAATGTGCCCGTAAGTGACCCTTTCTTGTTAATCTCAGCAGAACTGAGTAACTGCAGAGAAGTTTTGCTTGTTATTGCACAAGTTCAAAGTAAGTCATTTGACAAACCATAGGCTAGGTCTTCATGCTGTATATAGCCATGACTTTATCATCTTCGGTGGTACAGCAGCATGAGCTAACATCTGGCTTGTTGCTCTGCAGCTGTGCTCTGCTCCCTATTCTCAGGTGGGAAAGGGAAGTCTATTTCAATGGGAATAAGTTAGAAAAACGACAAAGGAAATGTCTTATGCTTCACAGTGTCTCTGCTACCTGTCAGGCATTCATGTAACCCAGGGGCATTTCAGTGCTTGTCAATGTCTGTAATCACTTCTGCTTATTTTGTACTCTGTTCTTCTACAGAACCACAGCAAAATGATGGAAACCAGGAGGAAAAAGCCACAATGCTCCTCTCCTCCCTACCTTTTCCATCTCTGTGTCAGTGTTTCATTTAGAAAGCACTCTCATTTCAGTCACTATTTTCTTATTGCAGGCGGGCAGAATTGATAGAAATATTGATCTTCTTTTAATGAGTTTTCAGAGGGAAAAAACAAACATGACTCAGTGGAGAGGTGCTATAGACTGACTGATGTGTCTTCTTTTTTACCTGCTGCTGATGTATATTTTGGGAAACTGCTGTTTTATCATTTCCCTTGCATAGGTTGATCCTTGCTTTGTGTTTTGCTGCTTGTAGTGAAGGCGTTTGCATTTCACTGGCTGCTCACAGCCTGCATCTTCATTTAACTTCTGCAAAGGTCAGCTTATCGAGGCACAGGATGCTCAGAGAGGAGACGACCCGAACTGGTCCTGCAGCGACCTTGGGCTGGTGCTTGGCAGCAGGGAGGAGAAACCAGGGTGAGCCCATCCTTTCCCCTGAGCCCCAGAACAGGGCACAGCATTTCTGAGTCTGGTTTCTGCACACCTTGGCTCTTGCCTCACTGGTGCCTCCCTGGTCCTCCAGCACCATCTACAGTCCTCTGTGCACTGAGGGGATGCTCCGGTGCCACCAGGTACAGCCCAGCCGCGGCTCAGGCTGCTGAGCCAAGGTGATGACTTGGGGGGATCTTTGCAGCCTTGATGGTAACCCCCTCCCCAGCACAGACGGTGAGCAGCGGTGCAGCATGCAGCTCCTGTGGCACTGTGTTTACCCTCCAGGAGCCGACAGGCATCCCTGCTGCTCGGCACAGCTTGGATCTGTGGCACAACACATGCGGTGCTCTTCATCGACAGCCTGAACCTGCGAGACGGGGCTGCCATGAAATATTCATGGGAATTTCCTTGAGTAAATAGCATTAAACATTCATTGATATTTTGAGCAACAAACCATCGGTTGCATCTCTCAGGGATGGAGAAGTATGTTAATAACAGCAGCTTTTCTTTCATGAGGCAACGATTTACATGCGCTTCAACTACCTTTTGGGTTTGAGACTGAAATCTGGCTTTCCTCAGCTTCTCCCAGCTCAGGACATTTTGTTCCTCAGCTCCCCAGCTTGAGCAGCGTATTCCTGGGAGCAGAGGGATGGAGAGGGCCTGGGACAGGCTCCCTCCATTGTGGCCGCTGTGCGGGGCGCCTGCGCAGCCCCGTGCTGGAGCGTGCAGTGGGAAACCTGAGCTGCTTGGATGAGCCCCGCGGGCTCGGCTCCTGGGGCTCGGCAGCAGGACTTGCTCCAGGCTATCATGGTGAGAAAGGCTCCCTCGCCTTGGCAGCTTGGGCACCAGGGTCGTGGCTTGTGGCTTGTGCCCTTCCATGAGCTTTGCTGCTGGACCCTTGCCCAGGATTCTGCTCCTTTCCCTAGAGCCCAGCCTTAGCTGAGCAGTTTCCTGGCAGCCCGCTTCATGCTGAGGATGCTGTGCGAAGCTGGAACCCAGCAGCTGAGGCAAGGAGGGAAGAGAGGAGGACGCAGGCCTCTCTGCGGCACGGTGGGTGAGAATTTATGGGCTTGGGGAGCAGGGGGGCCCTTGGAGTCTTGATCTTCTGCAGAATCCATGGCCTTAGCTCACCTCTTCCTAGCACTGCAGGCACTTCCTGGAAATGGGTGTGTAACATCCCAGGGGCTTGATGATGCTGTGAGAGACAGGCAAAACGATGCTAATCCTCTTTCCATCTCTGTTTCTTAAAGGCTCTCCTCATGCATCTCTCCAGACTCTTTGCACCATCAGGAGGCTGCTCCTGCTGCTTGTGGTCACTGGGCTGCTGGTGGGGACGGTGGCTGGATCGTGGCTCCTAGGTCAGTGTCTTCTCCAGGGCAGCCTCATCCTGCAGCCAGAACCCTGCCATGAAAGTGGTGATGGGAGCTCCTTGGTTGGTGAGCTGTGACTTGGGATAGGGAGACGTGGCTGTGGTCCCAGCAGCAAGCTGGAGATGCTCATCAGCTCTGCCAGAGGGTAATGCAGGCTCATGGCCAGTGTTGTGCATCCTCAGATGCTGCACAGGCTGAGCCCATCTTCTCCCTCTTCTTTGTTTCCTGAAGTGAAACACCTGAAGAAGTCTCAGCCAGACCACGGCTTCACCCTGCTGCAGGAGCCAGATGCGATCCCCGTGTGCAGTGATGGTGAAGAGGAAGACCCCGTGGTCCAGGGGGCTCACAGCAGAGGTTTACATCTTTGCTTGCTGCTACACAGGATGGGGAGAGAGGAGCAGCGTGCAGGACAGTGCCTGCCAGGGCTAGAAAGGACAGAAAATACACTCTTTATTATAAAGTATCTCTTGCTGATCCACGAGCTTCTTTCAACTGCATTTGATGATTGATTTGCTTTGCTTTTAAGCCCTGCAGCATTCCCCTCAGCATTACAGCTTCATTGCATGGAGGGATCCCACAGAAAAGGCAACTCTTGCTGGACTCCTGCATGTCATCACTCAGCAGAGCTGCCACACAGGCACTGAGAACGTGTGAATAGGTTCTGTAGAGTTACTAATCGCTTCAAATAGCTTTCTGCTGGGATTTTTTTGTTTGGTGTTGGGTTTTTTGTTTGCTTGCTTTCCATTAGATGTGCATCCGCTGCGCTGGATTGTCTTCAATGGCACGGCTTTAGTGTCTTTCAGAATAAACATGGCAAACTCCTTGCTGGAAGCACGGGTGGAAGGCCATCCCGGCTGGCTCCTGGCATGCCATGAGCACTGGAGTCTCTCCCTGGGCACCCTGCTGTGCCAGCAGCTCGGGTATCTCAGGTGGGCATCGCAGGGGCAGCCACTTCCACCCCTATTCACCCTGGTCCGAGGGGGATGAGCTCAGCAAAGGAGGCTGGGGCGTTAGGGCTGATACAGGGCGGAAAGCAGGGCTCAGGCTGGCACAGGGACCTGTGAGAAGAGCTGCACATCTTTCCTGCCAGAGCAGCAGGGCTGTGGGCTGTTGTTCTTATGGCTGCATTATAACCCTGATCCCCTAGCCGGTCCCCAGCCCTTTCCTGGGAGTAATTACTATTGCTTCTGCAGAATGGCCCATCAGAAAGGAGTGAACCTGACGGATGTCAAGGTGAATGCCACAAGGGAGTTTGTTCAGGTGAGAGCCCACCAGGAAGGCGGCCTGGAAGACCTGTGGCAGGTGAGGTAAGGGCAGCTCTGGGGGGAGCAGTTTGCTGGTGGGGCTGAAGGGAATATGGAAAACTGTGCTGGGGGTGTGCAGGAAGTGACCCCCTTGAGGACTGGGACAGCTGCCCTGGGGCTCCGTGGGGCACCAGGGAGTTTGGTCCATGTGCACTGTGCCCAGAGGCTTATTCTCATACAGGAGCAGCTGTGAATCAGGTCGAGTTGTGGCTCTGCAGTGCGCAGGTGAGTGCCCCGTCCCCTCCTACACTGTGAGGGTCTGGTGCCTGAGCTTTGTCTGTCACATGCTCCCCATCTCCCTTCCAGAGTGTGGGCTGCACCCCGGTGCTGCTCGGGTGGTTGGGGGTGCAGATGTGCCTGCGGGGCGCTGGCCCTGGCAGGTCAGTGTGTACCACGGCTCCCAGCACCGCTGCGGAGGTTCCGTGCTGGCCCGGGAATGGATCATCACAGCAGCCCACTGCGTGCACAGGTACCTGCTTTGCCCAGCACTGGGGTGCTTAGTGTGCTCTTACCCAGGGCTTGGTGCTTGCCTTGCTGCCCTACAGTAAGAGGCACGCGGTGTCTGCTCAGTTACAGGCGGTTTCAGACCTCTGCCTGGCTGGTTTTTGCTGGTGCTGTCAGCCACGGCTCCATCAAGCAGGAGGACGGGGTACCAGTAAGGAAAATAATTTACCACCCGCTTTATAATGACAACAGCCTGGACTATGACATTGCTCTGATGAAGCTCCAAGTCCCCTTGAATTTCTCAGGTAATGGGCTGCCATGATGCTGGGGTGTCCTCCCATCTGTGGGGTTATGTCTTATCCCACAAGTAAGAGATGGCCAAACCCCAGCCTCCTCTGAACGTGGCATTTCAGAGCAGCCCAGCTGGGATACCCAGCCTGGCACCTGGGAGGCAGAATGCACAGCAACAGTGTGTTTAAAACTGCCAGAGCTGTGAATCACTGTGAATGTGGCTCTGGGAGCTGGTCTGAGAGCCTTTCACTGCAGTGTGCCAGGCTGACAGCTCCACAGCCTCCCTCTGTGTCTGTGCTGAGCACAGCATGAACCTGTCCCCACTGGCCTGGCACTTACCTTGTCACCTTCTTAGCAGATGCCATCCGTGCTGTGTGTCTGCCACCCTCACACCAGGACCTTTTCCAGGGCACGCAGTGCTGGGTCTCTGGCTGGGGTTATACCAGACCAGGCCAAGGTAAGTCCCCATCTTATTCCCACTGCTCAGCCCTGACCAGAGGTTTTCCCCTTGCTCCCCACTGTCCCTGTCCTTCCCCTTCCATGCTGCATGTAATCTTGCAAATGGCACCTCCTGCCTTCATCCCACCCTTGCTCCAGCAGCTCTGCACCCCACAGCCATATCTCTCGGGGGGGGGGGGGCTGGCTGTATTTAAACCCATAAAGTTTAAATCCCATCTTTCCCATCTAATAGATAGATCCCCTCTTGCTCCCTGCAGGTGTAGTTTCCCTCTGGTCTTCTCTTTCTCCCTCCGCAGCCCAGGTTGCCAAGACCCTGAAGGAAGCACTTGTTCCATTGATCGGTACCAAGAGGTGCAATAGTTCGTGCATGTATGCAGGCGAGCTCACTGCGAGGATGCTGTGTGCTGGCTATCTGCATGGGAGCATAGATGCGTGCCAGGTAACAGGAGGGAGCAACTGATGCATGCAGGGTGTGCACAGCGGGTGTGGAAAGGGTGGGTATGTTGTATGTCTCCAGGAAGTGCTGGGATTTGTGGCAGTAGCTTGCAGTAAGCAGTCTTGAGTGCGGTGCAGTGCAGAGCCTGCAGTGCTCTGGTCCGTTGATGTCAGGCTGAGATTTAACTTGACATGGGAAGCTTGCAGGGAGGCCAGCACTACTTGTACCTGCACCTCAGCTTCCTGCACTGCTGATGAACAAAGCCATATGGGAGAAGCCGGCCTGATCTGCACCCCAGCTGCCAGGAGGCAGAGCTGCTTCCTTAGTCCTTGCTTTGTCTTGCAGGGTGACAGCGGGGGCCCCCTGGTTTGCCAGGATGAATTCGCGTGGCGCTTGGTGGGCATCGTGAGCTGGGGCCAGGGCTGTGCTGAACCCAACTACCCTGGGGTCTACACCAATGTGGCTCAGCTCCTGCCATGGATTCATCACATCACTGAGGTAAGCTGGAGCAAGCAAAGGTATGTTCAGCCTGACCTACAGCTGTCTGGGCTGTGGAGACAAACCCCAGTACAAGCATCCAATTCTAACTCTTCCCCTCTGCACACACTTAATGCATGAACCTCTAGGACAACCTCTTTTAGGGTACTGATTCTTTTCTCCTCATTTTTTTTACCAGGTGTACTAGAAACAAGGCAAGGAAGAGACTTCCCAGAGCAACCTTACCTTTGCCATGCAGCAAGTGGAGAAAGGCCCACGACTGATTTATCCTGTTACTACACCCGAAGGGAATCGCCAGACACCACTAGCAAAAGCACTCAGTATAAATAGTTTATTAAAGAAAATAGCAAATTACATTTCTATGAACAATCCACACGAGAGAAGTGTTGTTTTTCAAAAGATGTGGGTGTTTTTGGATTGCTGGGTGTAGAGGGGCAGGGATCCCATGAGATGTAAGTGCTCTGGGAACACTTTCAGCCTTCAGATAAATTACTTGGAGGAGAAGAAAAAGCTCGAGTTCTCAGTAGCAGTCAGGTTTTGCTTCAGTATCTCCCTTCCTTGCTGCTTTCAGTCTGCCTGCCCACTTGACTGCATTTGCTCCCTCTCTGTCCCAGTTAAAGCCAGCAACAGAAGGGTCTCCTCACCACGGCTGTGCCTGGCAGACCCAGCAGACAGAATGGCCATTCATTCTGCAGTGGCTTAGTGCAATGTGGAAGGCAGCTGTGAGGCCAGTCCTGCACAAATGCTTGCAAATGTGAACTGAAGTCAAACAAGAGTGCGAATGAGAAGGATACAACAGTAGGGAACAGATTAAAACGTTAAGCTCTGTGACCGAAACTTTCATGAGTGAGTTGTAAGCACTACACAGTAGGAAACACTTTGTTTGCGTGCAGCAACTGGAGCATCTTGGCCTCCAGGCTATGTCTTAATGAATGCTCTTGGTGAGTTTTTCAACTAACAGAAATGTACCTTTCTCAGTCTTAAACACGGCCTTTTGTAACGTGAAAGATGATGCTATGAGTGCACACTTCACTCCCTTTTCATGTTCATTTACGCTTCTCTGTTCTAAAAGGACAGAAAATGTACTACCTGAAACGCTACAGCTACCAGACCTGCCTAGTTCATGCACAACAGAAAGGGAAGGGAAGGCGCTGAACTGGCTTCTGCGGTTGGTACAGTGAGATAGATAGAAAAATTCTCAGTCAGCTTTAAGATATTTTCCATGAGGAATTCTGCCACTTGTGCAAGAGCCTGTGGCTTGATAAACAGTTCACTCAGAACAGGATCTCCTCTCCCCCACCTCCCCCTACTTCTCCACTCTTGAGTCCTGCTCTTCAGAGAAACCTGAGGTGGGAAAGAGCAAAATTTGGCACTTCAGCGTTCTGTGGGTTTCGTATGTAACTTGCAGGGACAGAAGAGGTAAGACACAAAGGGGCTCCTGTCCCCTGATGTAAAACTGCATAGATAAGATTCACTATTGAGAAATAAAAACCCTTCTACAAGGCCCTTAAGCAAGCAAGCTTGAGATGATGTTACACAGTGCCTTGCATGCAAGGCTCATCTGCCAGCAGTGCCTGCTCTCACAGAGATGTTGAATACAAGAGCTGATTTATTTCCCTACGCTGTGCTTAATAGGAAGATGAAATCCTAGAGAATGGAAGCTGGTGAACATCACAGAGAGCAGCTCTTCTTCACCTGGGACCCCAGACCCACCAGCACATGAAGCAGAACTTGGATCTGGGCAGAACACCTCTGGGATCACAGCAGGAGATTGAACCTTCAAGCCCAAATTTTGTCTGCCTGGCAGATGGAGCATAAGCAGTTAATGCCCCTGTCTTACCCACCCTTGATGTTCTGGTCCCAGATGCACATAGCCATCCTCTTTGACCCCCAGACATTGAGCTAGAAAATGCTCAAGTCAAGCCCCCAGGGAAGCACTTAACCTAACTCTAAGGTTTTTTTAATACCAGTACAAATAAGAATGGTCCAATCCAGAAAGTACTTGACAGACTCAGTTTCCTCTTGCTTAATCAGAAGCTGCAACAGGTAGGAGTAAACACAGAGTTACTTAATTTTGGCCAGTGCTGCTGCTCTCCTTTCTGTGTTCTGGAACAAGGCTCGGATCAGGCTCTTCACTTCAGCTGCTGAGAATTCAGCTGCAAGAGGTCCCTTCCCATCCGCCCACCTACGTGGGAGAGAAAGAGCTTTATTTAACCAAACTGCACAGAAATGTCACGTTAAAACAAGCCTCCTGAGCACTTGGTACAGTTGTAAGTCTGAAGGTAAAACCCACCCAGTTAGCAGCCTGTTAGCTCTATGCAACTTGAGCCCAGAATTGTTTAGTGGGGTATATAAAGCAACAGTTTGTGGGGTGAGTTTTGCACTTGTTATAAACTGTACCTTTTCCTTTACCAAAATAAGCCCAAAGCCTGTCTACAAACCTCCCATTCATCTCCCAGACAACAGGAGAAAATAAGAGTGGTTTGTGCCCAGGTGAAGATAGAGCTGGGGACTTTGGTGTCTAACATGGTTCCAACAGCAGCAATGAGCAGGGCAGAGGAAATCAACTGCTCTCCCTGTGTGTTTTCTCCATGGCTGGTACCTTTTTCAATTGGGCCTGCTGAGGACAGTATGTTTTCTGGCCATTCAGCTGTATGTGTGAGGCAGCTATGAATAGGGTATGTCTGGCTTCTGACAACTCATGCCAACTGAAGTAATAGATGTAATTATGCAAATCCTCATGTGTAATTCACATAAATCCCCCTTGTAAGTTAAAAGGAGCAAGAAACAGCATCAAAAAACCAGAGGCCAATCAAGTGGAATGACTGCATCAGCAGGCACAGCTAACATCAAAAACAGCAGGCAAAATGCCAGGCTGCTTACTGTGAAACACTTCTCAACTTGGAGAAGCCAAAGGGGATGCACAATCACTCTGTGGCTGCCTCTCTCATGGCACTTGTTTTTTACCATTGCCTTTTCCTTGCAGGAGGTGGCTGAATGTACGAGCAAGCTTGGAATGGACTATAAACACCCAGCCAAGAAACAGCCCCAGGAGCAGTTATCTGGTTCTTATTAACAGTGATTGCCTTTCATCTGAACAGAGTCCCCTGAGTGCAGTGCCCTCAGCTGCCTTGTATTGGGGTGACGAGCTAACTGGAAAGGAACAAAGGAAGACACCTACTGATCTACGATTTCTTGGAGGTTGGCTTGCAAGATGATCATCAGCTCTTTGAATGTCATCCACTTTTGCACATAGACTGGAACTTCCTCTTGGTACTTCTTATTTTTGTCATCTTCAGGTAATGGGGTGAAAACTTGGGGTCCTTCCTCCACCATGGTTCTACAGAGGGAGTACAACCTATCTGCATCTTCTGCAGAGATATCCTAGAATAGATGTTAACAGGGAGCAGTTAGATGGTTTTTGGAATGCCAAGAAATAAGTGAAATGAAAAAAGGTGCCTGTGAAGGTGAAAGCAGGGCTTACATCATGTTTAATATTCTCAAGCTAATCTAACTTAGCTCACAAGTAGCTATTTCAGCAAGCTCTCAGTGTGTGCCTCAGAACAAAGGCTGTGCTTCTAAACAGCACATCTTGGTGCATGAGCAAGCACTTCCCTGTGAAGCAGAGGTGTTGTGATGATGGTCCGGAGAGTTTACAAGGGAACAGCCCAGGCATTGCCAGCCCAGTGCTGAAGGCCAAGCTCTGTGGCAGGCACAGCCTAAGCAAGTGTCTGTAAACTAGCTGTTAAGGGAAAAGAGGATTTACTGGCCTAATGGAGCGGGAAGGCTCTTTAGATGTTGACTACAACTAGAACAGATGCACTAATGTATTTCTATCATTTGCTGTGAAAACATATTTTAATTAAGAAATGCAGTAGAACAGTTGTGCTCAACCCAAGGTAACCTGACAATCACCTAAACACACTACTGGGAGTCAAGGGGAGATTTAGACAGATAATAATTGCAATTTGAAATGCCACAGGTATTTCAGCATCTAGTGCACAGATAGGATGGAGACATATATTAGAGATGGACAGACTGAATGGAAGGAGTTTGAGACAACACTTAGCTCCTGTGCCCTGAAAATAGTAAAGGAGATACAGTCACAGAAATGTTTCTGGAGGAATGACACCTAAATCCAAACCAAGACAAAATCACAGCCACTTTCCTGACTCTCCCCTTGCCCAGACAGCCATGGAATCACTGTAAGAGGTCTCAACTGGATGGGAGGTATTGGTATCTTGAACATAGCCGAGAGACAGGGCCACAATTATAGTTTCTGTGAAAGATGACTGTTCCTGGGAACTCCTGCTTTTGGAAAGAACTTCTAGAGGTTACAAACACACTTACCTCTAGGGCAGTGATCCTAGTGACAATCTCTGTGAGAGCTGTGTTCAGCAGAGTCCCCATAGCCTTGCAGTACACGTTCACTGGGAGGACATCTTGCCAGACTTTTCCCAGTCTTTTCAGCTGATGTAATACCTGGAAGAGAAGAGCTATGTGTTACCTACGTGTTATCAACAGAACTTTGAGAGATATCAAATGATAAGGTGACTACACATTGTCAGAAACCAGTCTGAAAGAAGCCAAAGGCAATGAAGTGTAAAACTATCACATGGAACAGACATTCCTGGGGAAGGGAATGCAACATTCTCAGTTTTCATTAAGGTTTATCAAAAGTGGAGCAGATCTTTTCACTGAAAACTGTAGATGGACTATAAATGGAAGTTCAAGGGTAAGAACCTTTTCATTTCAACTTGGAGCCAGAGGGACTGAACTTGGATTCAATTTTACAGCCCAGGGGAAAAAAAATCACGCCAGGAAACTGTTTAGAGAAGTGCACAGTTCTCAGGACTGAGATTACAAACCCTGCCTTCCCAAGGACAACACCTACAGCCAAGGGGATACTTGGCTCTGACTGCCTCGCTTACCTGCCTTATTGCTTTGTTAGCTGCACAGTAATTTTCCTCATCATCCATATTAGAAAAATTCCTGGCACTTGACAGCCTCTCCAGGATTTCTCCTTTTTGCACTCGCATCTGGGCCAGAAAACACTCCATCCCTTTAGAAGCAAAAACAAGCAGGGAGAAGCAATTAAGCAGTCAATAAACATCTCACTGGATAATCAACTTCTTGGAACTATATGCTGGACAAGAAGAGCTGCGTGTCAAAGAGTCAAGCCTGAAG